AAACAAATATAATTTAAAAATAATTTGAATTTTCATATTATTTTTGACCGATATGAAACTAAGCTTTATTTGAGAAAGTATAGCATTGCAAAGTGAAAAATATTAAAATAGTGTTATACAAGGAAGGTGAATATTTAAAACCAATATGGCAAAATGATTGATTTAAAGTATGTTAAAACGATGCAAAAGAGAATATGAAGTTTATTCCTAATCATTGATAGACTTCATAAAAAAATATAAATTAAAGATTAATGCTAACTCTAGTATACTTTTATATGATAAAAACATCCACATAAGAATATAAAAGTACTGAAAAAAATTCATGAAACTCCCTTCTAAAGATTCCTAATTTCACTCAAAATAATTAAACTATTCTATAAAATATTCATAAAATATTGTTTTTATTTCTTCTATTTTATTTTTTATTGAGTTAAGATCAATCCTTCTTCAGGTTTATCATTTATCATTTCTCGGACAATTCTAGAGTATTGTCTTCATCATCTACATCAATTGTGACGTCAGGCTAATTTTGTATTTTTTATGCTATTATCTTTCCTGGGCTCGTTAATTTTTTATCATCTCATTTAACTTTACAAAGAAGTCAAATGTACTTATGATGTTCAACACAAACTGCTCAAAATATAGACTTTTGATTTTTTTTCTATTTCAATGAGAATAAATATTAATTACATATATATAAAATTCTTTGTGTTCCTAATTTATTACTTAAATAAATTAGAAGCTATCTCTTTATTTTCCTCTAAAATGAATTCTTCTGATGTGCATCCAATAAGAATTTCTGTTATTTCAATAATATTACCTTTGCTCTATCCCTGTCATTTTCCATAAAGATCTAAACTAAATACCTGCATTATTCATTACCAATTTATCTTAGATTATAATATTAATATTTAATTTGAAGAACACAGTATGTAATTTATGAATACTTAATAATTTTTCTTATGTCTTCCATGGAGATTTTTTCTTTGATTAGGATAAAGTTATTAAATTATTTTTTAATAAATACTATTCCGGGCCGGGCTCGGGCCGGCGGGCTTTTTGGACACCACTACGAGCCCGGCGGGCTTTTTGGACACCACTAGAAATATTCGGCCTGGGCCGGCGGGCTTTTTGGACACCACTAGAAATATTTCACTAAATATGAGTGATAACTTATTGGATGTTTAGGTAAAACACTTCTTGCAATGAAAATTAGAATTTACACTTGGTTGCTATACTTGAGGAAAGAAGCGATAGAGAAGTAATCACTGTGTCAATTATTTTTTTGTATTTATTTTCTATGTAATTATGATGCAATGGAATCTCGTCTTATTCCGTTGTAATTAGCTTTTGGATGCTGTTGAATTAGCTTATGTCATTTCTACAACATTCCAAAGGTTGGCTAGACTATGTTCAGTTTATGTGATCAAATGTAAATTTAGTTGTGTATTTAAACATTCTATTTTCTATACAATGCAATTTGTTTGAATGTACATATAAATCATGAAATTAGCTCGTTTTCTCTTGATCGTGGAAAAGGTTTTCCAAAACAATGTGTAATATATGCTAAGAAAATATTGAAATCTATCCAAGTCATGATACTAACAAAAAAGAAAGTCCAAATTAGAGAATCGTTGGAATTTTCATGCTAGTAATCTGTTCTGATTGTTTGGCACATATTTGCTTGTGTTTAGTTCTTAATAGCTACGATCAGAGACTTAGTATTACAACGTTACCAATATTAATCCCGTGCTCGCACGAATTGTTTTGATTTCTTCATTTTATATATGTGGGTTTATATGCTCTTTGAATACACTGAGCTACCCTAGTGTGATAATAGATATGATTGATTATATTTCCTTGTAAACTATAACATACAGATCATCCATTAAGGAATACACTAAATGCTTATGGAGGAAGAGACAATGTGTAACCTCTTTTTGCTATGAAATTAGAAGAAGTGAGTAGAGTTTTTTTATTAGTTAAAACATGGTTTTAATAGTAGGATTTTTCTTAAATAAATTACCAATTTAAGTTTGAAATTCAAAATTAGATAGCTTAACTATCAATCTCATTTACAAATCTAATAAAACAATATGTTTTTTTAAAAACTATCTACTTTTCGTATCATGCTTAATTGTTAATTATTTTTTCTTTTCATTGAATGTCTTTTAAGGTGCACTCAAGCCAGTTAAATTGAGGGTTGGGACTAGCGAGGATTACGAGTTACTCGTTGTAAGAGCTAGGTTAGACGACTGGTTTCGGGTTGAAACTAGGGCACGACCTTGTAAGCCTACTCAATTGGGTCTGTGATTTAGGAGAAATTTGTTATAGAGAGGAAGCTCCTTCGCGAGAAAGAAGAGTAGATGTGGGATTGTTTATTTGAACCATTATAATATTTTGTGTGTCTCTTGTTGGTTGTATTTGCATTAATATTATTGCTAATTATCATTTATCATTGTAATTTATTTTTAGCTCACTGCATATTCTGTGTTTATGCGAAAAGTGGGAGGTGATTCTATTCACCCTCCAACAACCTAGGGGTAAAATTGTCCAAGAGAAAAATTATGTAAAACCTGAGGTTATGCAAGAGATCTGTTACGACTTTTTATATAAGTAAATCAATGATAACTATAACTCTGACTTGGTCTTGTGTGACCAAATCAATAGCTCTCAAGTTGTGAAAAAAGTGGAAAATGTGAAAAATGGGTTTGTTGAGAGAAAATCTCTCAGGGGCGGTTATAAGGGGGTGGAGATGATGGGTTTGGCCCCTATAAATGGAAGATTGTTCTTCTTGAGAAAACAACAACACATAATCAAAAAACCCCTTACCTATTATCGGAGCCCCCTCAAAAATCTGTTGTTTTCCCCTCTTCTCTGTGTTCAATCACTAGTATCAGAGCTACGACGACGACTGCTGGGAGTTGAGATCACCGACGATGGTAACGGCGACGACGTGTCTGCTGCTGTTCAAACCCCTCCATTTCTTCATCGATCTCACAGGTTGCTTCCGATCTCCTCAATTTCTTGATCGATCTCTAAGCTTGGCCACATACGAGCTTTGATCGATCCGCTATTTTTTGGAGTTAGGGTTTCAAGAGAGGGTTTTGGGGAGAAGATGGAATAATAGAGGAGAGA